CGTCGTGGGCCAGAGCTGATTTGGCAATGCTCCGCGGGCCACTTGCTAGGCCTCTGCTGGCCGGATTCAGCTCGCGGGCCTCCAGTTATTAAATAGCCGTGCCATAGAACACGCTATGTGCCCTGAAGCAGGTCGCTGGCGTGAACTCTAAACATGTGATCGGTAATGATTTGTACAGACAAGAACTGCGGCCCGTAAACACTGATGCCTAGGTGAAAGAGAGGTTTTATGATATTCTGTAATGGTGCCTACACACATATCCGTGTTTATTTGGTCGTGTGGTTTGTTTATCGGTCTGTTGTAATTTACTTTCTTCACACTGTAATAAAACTGGGACGTTGAATAAACGAGAAACGTAATGCGTCTTTACAGATAAAAATAATGAATCGAACCATGAGTCCTTTTTTTAAGTTTGTTATAGGCTTTTCGCAGTTGGCTTCTGTGGCTTAGGCGTTGGGGACGCGTTTTGAAATGCCGGGGTGCCGGGTTCGATTCTAGCTGCAGGCGATTTGGCAGCGGACCGTCTAAAAAGGTGCCAGTACTCACCATAAATTTCTGAAAATGATACCAGTACTCACCGTATATTACAGTAATGCTTTACTGCAAGTTTCTGCCTTTATACACCACTTTTTGCGGTGTAAAAAAAAAGGGGGGGGGGGGTCTTTGAGCCGATTTATGGCCGCATGGCTAGCGCTGTTGTCGCCACGACTGTGCAGGTAAAGATTCATGTTAAAAGGTGCTGGTAAGCGTACCGTTTTTGTCATCAGAAAAATAGTTCTGGTAATAATAATACTAATTAATGTAGGAGTAATCATAAAAATAGTAATAGCGCTAACATTAGAAGCTGTTATTTAATTATAAACGTGCATTCAACCGTCTAGGGCGATGTAGCTGGGATATCAGAGTTTTTCTGCTGCTGGATATTTGTCTAATAGTTGGATACTCTTGACTATTTAATGTTGTGAGAACTGCTATTTCGTAGTAGCTAAATACTCAAATGTCGGCACGAAAGTCTTGGATTCAAACCCCCGTCAAACGTCAAGGTAGTTTTTTCCCTTTAAATTTAAGAATAAAATAATACACAGGGCAGCCATCAAAGTGCCAACACAAATAGTCCAGCATTAGTTCATCATCTATGGAAGCAGCAGTTACAAATAGATAAGTAGTTGCACACGCAATTAATCATTTCAGACACCACACGCAAGTAAAAATAAAATTGATTCATAAAGGGGTTACATGTTTGAATTCAATTGTGATCAAATTAATCCGTTACATGTTTGAAGTCAAGTGTGGTCAAGGGAATCCGTTACATGTTTGAAGTCAAGTGTGGTCAAATAAATCCGTTACATGTTTGAAGTCAAGTGTGGTCAAAGGAATCTGTTACATGTTTGAAGTCAAGTGTCGTCAAAGGAATCTGTTACATGTTTGAGGTCATATGTGGTCAAAGGAATTCTTTTCATGCTGTAAGCTCTGTTAGACATTTGGGGCTAGCTTCATATTTTTACTTGAGGGGTTATATGGCCAGTATCACAGTGGCAGCTTTTACTTCCTCAATAATTTCCTGATATCTGTTTAGACTGGGTCAACCTCAACAGACAACTGAACACAATCCCTGCCCTGTAAAATGAGGTGAACACACTGGCAGATAAAAAATGAAGTCAAAGTCAAAATCCCTTTTCTCGCCTTTAGGCGCATTGGGCATATGGGAAGAGCACCCATATTTTTACAGACCAATTGGCATTAGGTGGGTAATGTGGTCAGCACTACGCTGGCCGTCTGTACTTTCCTAGGACATACATCCTGGCACCCATTTTAGGCTGGGTCAACCTGTGAAGCCCCATACCATGATAAAAATCCACACAGTCACAGCAGTGGGTTTCGATCGCGGTACGTTGGAATCATGAGTCGGGTTCGCAAAGCCTAAGCGACCACTGGCAAAATAAACTGGCAGATAAAAGTGCTTGCTACCAATTTAACTTGCATAACATATATATTTTCTAACATATATAATATTAATTACATTGTGTTTTTATTTATAACTTTGTCATTCTTAATTCATATCTACTTTTATTTATTATTTATTTTTCTGTTCTTCTCTTTTTCAGAAGATTTTTTTTTTTTGGTCAAGGATATTTTCACATTTATACTTTAGATACCATACAACTGCTTTGCCTTGAATGTGGATTCTAGCACAGGTTTGGAAGACTGAGAGGACATTATTGTTGTAAAGTGATATAGAAGTGTACTTTGGATACTTTACTGATACAAGAAAATACTGCAGTTAGCTCTGTTTGGTTTGATGTGTCAAGATCTCTTTAATTGTGCCTGGATATCTCTGCAAGTGCACCAGTCCCCAACAGAACATACAAGGAGCTTTTCAGCACAAGGCACAAACTCTGCGGCACTTGTGAGGATACCAATGTAGCTCTGTTTGCTGCGTGGTGTGCTACAGTTTCACTTTGGTAAATTTTTTCTACACTATTTAATACTTTCAAATAAAATCGTTTTTGGCTTGTTTGGTTGATAAGATTACAGATAAATTGTCACGTGCAGTTAGAAATAACACTGTCTTACTTAGAACTGGACCTGTGACACTGTCTTATTTAGCACCAGAAATGTGTGACACTGTCTTACCAACCCTAAAACCACAGAGATCAATATCTTTAACATAAAAGTCATCTGTAATTTATCTGTAACACTCCGTTTCTCACCCTGGCTGCACACTCTGACAGGCTGCTGTTCATCCCACATGGGGACTCTAGTTGTTACAAAAACCCACCCATTTTCAACTGTTTTAACCTACTCAGCTCAGTATGGTTATCAGTCAACATCTATGGCTTAGTCTTTGTAAGGTGCCAGGTTCAATCTCAGCTGTGGATGATTTGACAGCAGACTATCTTGTGTTGATTTCAACAGTGGTATGGGCGCCAACCATTCAGTAAGCATGACAAACTAATAAATTTAAAAGTGCCAAAACAAAACATTTTGAGGTTGGTTCTGCAACATTATATAAAGGATTCACACATACTATGCCCAAAAAATGCAATAATGGCATCAAGAACAGTTTCAAAGAAATGAAAGTCAACTTATATAATGCATTAGAAAGAGCACACAGAAGGTCTGTGCATCTCTCCCAACACTTTATTCATGCAGTAACCATTGCATAATCTTGTTCTATTGTCTTTCTTACTTACTTACTTAGTCACTCCTCTTCTACCTTGGGGTGTAGAAGTTTGTCAGAGAGATCGCCAGACTTCTCTATCAGCCGTTTTCTTTCTGGCTTTGTTCCCTTCCAGTCCTCTGTCAGTTAGGGACTGTCGGATGTTGACTTCCCACAGGACCCTTGATCGACCTAGCGGTCTATTTCCTTGTTTTTTAGCCGCCCATGCCCGCCACAGTTTGGCCGATTATCTCCCATTCTGCATACATGTCCAAACCATCGTAATTGTGGTTGGTAAACTCGAGTTTCAAGATCTTGATGTATTGTCTGGTTGCAAACTTTTTCCCTTCTTATCACTCGGACCACCTTTCTCAGATATCTTATTTCTGAGGACTGAAGCTGGCTTTTGTGGGCTGTTGTCATTGCCCATGATTCACACCCATAGGTCAGGACTGGCACATAAGTAGAAAGGTATATAATATAACCATTTTCGTCCTCTTGCCTATTTCTATTTTGCTAAGAAACCCTCATTTTATGGACTGGAAAAGTCTCCCAGCTGCTTCTTCTGGAGTAGCCAGCTCTGTCTTAATGCCTCCATTTCTGTCTAATACAACTCCAAGGTATCTGAACTGGTTGACCTGCTCCAATGCATACTGCCCCATCATGATCTGGTGTTTCTTCTCATCTCTTGAGATCACCATGGTTTTAGTTTTTGAGATACTGATGGTCATCCCTCTCTTCCCAAGCTCTTCCTTCCAGACAAGTAAGATGGATTGAAGACGTGCCTCTGTTTTAGCTATCAGGGCTACATCATGTCTTTCTTTATTCAGGTTATTTTCCACCAGAATCCACAACTTGGACATTCTGGTCCAATTTAGCTGATATACAAGCTGACTGCTTTAGTCAGGGAAATTTTTCTTGCTTCTGACAACACTTAGCTGTTGTATTTTCCCCCCATATTTGGACTAATAGTATATGGTAACTACTGAGCTGAGTGCATGGCATGACACCGTGAGTTGTGTAATTCATTTGGAATGATCTTTGACCCCCTCCCACCCCTCATATGATCATATGATTTGTGTTGTGACCTGCAGGTTCATAAAATGGTGATTAGCCTGTTGTTATAGAACTTGTAGTGCCTTATATGATTAATTGCATGTGCAACTACATATTTGTTGTAACTCATCCTTCCATTGATGATGATCTGCCTTCTAGTGCTGGTCTGTTTGTTTTGCCACTGTTGAAGGCCGCATTATGCACTTAAAGTGTGTCTATGCTATTGGTTTTGCCCAGGCAACAGTCTGGGTCAGTTATATCACAAGGGACATTGTTAGGCATTCCCCATGATTTTCTTTGGCACAGGAATGAACCAATTGTGGGGTAGCCCCTTTGCTGTATGCTGAAACTGGGATTACCCGATTATTGATGAGGTAATTGAAGGAAGATAAGATAAAGAAGTCCTAGAAGGTTTCAGTACCCTTTCTGATTTCTTCTCTGAGTGCATTCTTTCATCTTCGTTGTCTGATTATTTATTCTCTCATTTTTAGATTTGTTCACAGCTGACTGACTTTTGCTGCTGAATCTTTTTACATGATAAAGTAGCCAACCCTGAGCTCAGTCCTGTTCTTCATCCCTCTTATGCCTTGTAGGACGCAAAGTTACTATTCTTTGCTTTTCCCAAGGGTCTCTGTAAAACTTGGCTGTAAATATTAAATTATTGTCTCCGGACATTACATATACAACTATCTAGGCAACAGAAGCAGACATGTTTTTTTAACATTTATTCACTGTACATGTGAAGATTTACAACATGTAATCTTTCGTACTTTCAGAAAGCAGCATGGAGGAGACAGATCACATTTCCAATGACTCTGCTGAAGAAACATCACAGCTGCTTCCCAGCAATGGAGAAACATCCTATAGTTCAAACTCACACAGAAGGTCATTTTCATCTTATTTGAAATTGTTCTAACAATTAGATTTTTTTTTAATTTTGATGTAAGGGCAAGAACTCTGTAGCACTAATGATGCAAACTCAATATTTTGGACCAGTTTTGGTAACCCATATTTTAGACCAATGGTGCTAGCCCAGTGTTTTAGACCAATGGGGCTAGCCAGTACTTTAAACCAGTGGTGCTAGCCAGTACTTTAAACCAGTGGTGCTAACCCGGTGTTTTGACAGTGTTTTTTTTTTAGTGTAATGACAGGAATTTTGTAGCACTAATGATGCAAACTCAATATTTTGGACCAGTTTTGCTAACCCATATTTTAGACCAATGATGCTAGCTTACTATTATTAACCAGTGGTACTAGCCCAGTATTTTAGACCAATGTTGCTATCAAAATATTTTAGACCAATGGTGCTAGCCCATATTTTAGACCAGTTGTGCTAGCTCAGAGTTTTAGACCAATGGTGCTAGCCCATATTTTAGACCAGTTGTGTTAGCTCAGAGTTTTAGACTAATGGGGCTAGCCAGTACTTTAAACCAGTGGTGCTAATACTATATTTTACACCAATGGCACTGTTTTAGACCAATGGCCCTAACCCAGTAGTTTTAGACTAATCAGTACTTAGTGGGTAATGTGAATATCATGCCATGCTGTTTTTAACTTTCTAGGAATTTCCCTGGTACTATTTTTTTTATATATATACTAGCTGTACCCGGCCACGCGTTGCTGTGGCATAGTTTGGCTGAACAGAAATGAAAGAAAATAGAAATCGCACGTGTCTAATACAATCATTGTCTGCTCAGATAAGAGATAGTCTTTGATACCCCCCCCCCCCCTCACCACCACAACTAAATCCACCTACTACTTTCTCCCTCATCAAAGGTTTTTGGAAAAGAAAGACAATGGAAATCGCTGTGTCTGATATAGTTAATGTCGCAATCATTGTCTGCACAGATATAGAGATAGTCTGGTTTTCCAACTTTAGAACACGCACCTTATAATTGTATCTTTATATTATTGGTCGTTTAAATGGTGTTATTAGCACAGTAGCAAAAATGGTTATTTAGTTATCACATGCTAAAGCTGTTAGTATTTTTATAGGAGACGGAAGTAAAGCTACAACTGTACTTGTAAATAACAAAGTAAGTCGTAAAAAATAGAAAAGCAGAGGTAGCATTAGTAAAATATAAACAAAGTAGGTAATGAGAACTTGAAAATCACGTGTAAAGCTCTTTAAGTTCTCTTAAAGTTAAGTCATTACCCCCTCCCCTCTTCCACCGACTACTGCTCTCTCCCTCTTCGAAGGATTTGAAAATCATTACCTGGCGATATTTTTGTTGTTGCTGTAACTGACATTGACATCCCTGTCCACCCGGACTAAAATGGGGAGCAGGAATTGTAATAGGTAGTGAATGGAGCTAGTGTAATATTTACCACATCATCCTTCAAGTACCAGTACAACTACTACCACGACCACCACCACAGTAGCTAAAATAATGTCACTGCTATCTGTGTTACCATCGGAGTAGACAGAGAGTCGTGAGCCAGAAGATTTGGTTCCGCATGGCTAGTGCTGTCGCCACAGACTGGTCAGGTTAGGATGTATAATTTCGCTTCCCGACAGAAGAACGCCATAACCTTACCGGCGGTCTTCACATGAGAGCACTATGGTGTAACACCTTAACCACAACTATTACTGCTGCTGCTACTTTTAGTGGGTAAAGCAGTTACTGTGACTTAAAGCTCTCTCAGTTAACAGTTTGCACCCCCTCCCCCCTCTCCCCAAAAAAATTCACCGACAACTCTTTCCCTCATTGGAGTAGTTGGAAGAAAAACAAACAAAAACACTTGAAAAGCAAATGAAAACAGGAAAAAAAAAAAACACCATAATTAGGAAATGAACGCTATGGTAAACAGCGCAGCTTAAAATTCCAACGCAGATGAAATAACTAAATCTAAATGAAAATAAATGGAAAGCTATGAAATTTCAGCGTAACCATGCAATCGGAAAGTTTAAAAATGCAATCATAAGTATGCAAAATGGTCAAATTTAATTATCAAATAGTTTACCCACTTACTTGTCTTTTTTTTTTTTTTTTTTTAGTATTAAGGGCAACGTGGCTAGTGCTGTCACCACGACAGAGCAGATAAGGATATTATTTTAGTTCGGGATAAAAAAAATTTACTACTGCGGATTCGAACCCTGGTCTCCCGCACAGTAACCCAGTGTTGTAACCATTCGACCAAGCAGCCACTTCATAGGAGCAATGAAAAGAGAACTAAACTATAGAGATGTGTGACCCTACTACTACTGTGTCTGATTATAACACTACTCAAAACCGCAGGCAATTATTTTTTTATTGACAGATACTCCAGATATATTAATGAAACGGCACAACAATAGAAATCGCACGTGTCTAACACGGGTAATGAAGTTAATGTCACAGTCAATGTCTGCGCCGACGTCGAGATAGTCCTTGATGCCCCCCCCCCCCCCCCATCCCCCCTTCCCATCGAAGGTTGTTTGAAAAAAAAAAAAATAGAAATCGTGTTTAATATGGTTATTGTGGCAATCACTGCCTACACAAATATAGAGATAGTCTTGTTTGCTGTACCACGACCTACTCTATGTTATTAGAGAAGGCGTTGGCTGCACGTAACTCGCCAGCGAAAAATAAAAACAGAAAATAGAAATCGTGTTTAATATGGTTATTGTGGCAATCACTGCCTACACAAATATAGAGATAGTCTTGTTTGCTGTACCACGACCAACTCTATGTTATTAGAGAAGGCGTTGGCTGCACGTAACTCGCCGGCGAATAGCGGAAGACTTGCGTTCTGACTACGGCGCATGCGCAATTACTAACGTGGCTATAATTAGATGTCACTAACAATTTAAATATTAGTTTCGAATATTTTTGCTTAAATCGTGGTCACCTATCTCTAACAGTGTCAGGATGAATTTCAAACCATGATGGTTTAACATCCGGTATCAAAACAAACATATCCTGAAAATTTCAGCTAAATCGGTTCAGTAGCTTCCGAGTCTATAGGGGGCAAACAAACACACAAACATTGATTTTTATATATATAGATATATTGACCTGAAAGCACAAGTCTGGACAATGAAGATTGCGTGCAATAATTCTCCATCACTTGATCTCCTGCTCTAGTTGTTTACTTTCAGATTGTGGTTGTTCCATTTCTTATGTTTCCACTTGTATCTCTGTCTCATTCTTGTTCACCTGTCTTTTCCCTTAAGTTTAAATTTTCTATCTTCTAAGTAATTCTAGTTGATATTTTTCTCATGCTGTTGAAGATATTTTTGACCATCCCTATTTTTGGGGGGAGGTGGGGGAGGGGGGCTATGTTTTATGTATGTGTTTTATTTTGAAAAAAATCCAAATAGTCAGTGCCCTGAGATGAACCAGACTTGATCAAGTCAGAAGTCAGTGCCCTGAGATGAACCAGGCCTGGTCAAGTCAGAAGTCAATGCCCTGAGATGAACTAGGCCTGGTCAAGTCAGAAGTCAGTGCCCAAATTTCTGATTATTCTCTGTTTGCCCTTAAAAGGGCAGCTGGCACAATGTGCTGTGGTTTACATCTAGGCTGCAATATGTGTGCCTTTTGGCTCAACGCAGACAGCTTCAGTAAACCCTTAATTAATCCCTTTTCTACAGCATCCTAAACTCTTTCAGTCCCAGGGGGTTTAGCATCAGAGGCCAAAGGTTAGAAAAGAGAGATGTAAAGTTGGCACATCTTGTGTTCACTGGGCTTCTATGTAGGAACCTTTGAACAAATGATGCATGCTTTGGGACTGAAAGAGTTAACAGTAGTGGGTCACCAAATGAAGCTCTGGAATCCAAACAGGAAAACATCTGATGTTCTCAGTTCTTCAGGACACCCTAGGGTTCGCTGGAAAGACAACATACAACAGTCCCTGACTAACAGAGGATAGGAATTAAACAAAGCTGAACAGCAAACTGCTGATAGAGAATTATGGTGATCCTTCTAGCAAACCTCTATGCCTCAGGGTAAAATAGTATCAACTAAGCAAGTATGTTCCCAGCTCTTTATGATGATCCGGGGCTCCCTTGAAAGACAACAAACAACAGTCTTTAACTGACAGAAGACTGGAATAAAGCCAGAAAGACGATTGCCAATAGAGGTGCCTGGTAATCCCTCAGGCAAACCTCTATGCCCCAGGGTAGAAAAGCATCGATTGAGTAAGTAAGTTCTCAGTTCAGATGCCAAACGTGAAGTGATTCCATGCCAAAAGGGAAATGATGCCATTACTTATCTTTGTAAAACCTCCTCTCATTTACAGTGACAGATCTCCCAGTGCTATTCTGGAGCGGCCAGAAGACTATAAAAGTAGATGGCGATCAATCAGGCTCATGTACCTGGTCATGTTCCTGGCCTCTGTGACTTTCACCATCACAATGTCCTCGCTCTGGCCGTTCCTGCAAGTGGTAATATATCAGTCACTCTTCACTATTCTGCACAAAAACAACTTTATAAAAGATGTTGATATAGAACTAATTATAAATTTCAGAAAAAGACAGCAAAGAAAATGGTTTGCCGACTTCAGTAGAATACCTTTCAATGCTATACCATAAAAGACACCAAGGTGTCCTTGACATGGAGGTGACAGCCATTAAATCTAGCCACTCCAGCGCAAGTCTCTTGAGAATCGCTTTATTTAAAATTGTGGGTACTTTAACACCCTCTGGACTGAATTGCTAACACAGTTTCACTTAAACTCCTGGGGGATTGAACTGCCCTCACAATTTTATTTCAAACCCTCTAGTTATGACCCCTGGTACTCCACAGGGGGAGTTATTCCCCTAGCCCACGCGTGTAGGCAGTCTGCTGATAAACCATCGACCCGGCTGCTTCGAGATACCAGCTTTGTGTATTTGTGTGGTATTGTTTGATTTATATGTGCTGAAAAAGGCTCCATAGCCGCAATGTTCACATTTTGTTTGTATTTGTTATATTGTGAAGCTTGCCAAAAACTTTTTGTTCGGTTTTACATCTTTTCTTCATATACCATAAAAGGCATAAATTAAAAGAGAGAGATGTAAACCCCGAGGTAGACCTAGAACATAGGGAGAGATAAAATAGGAGAAAATCTACAATAGCATGATGGGACTGTTACTGAAGTGACCAGAAGAGCCAGAACCAGAACCTAGTATCTTCCTCGACATCCAAAGCAGTGAGTAGGATGTGAAGAAGAACAACAATTATCACAGCATACTTTCATACTCAGCCCATTTAAACGTAAATGATTTGAAAAGAAGTTATATATTCAGACAGGAATAGAATGGAAAAAGAAACCTTGTTGTGTCTTAAAATGAAAAAAAGTTTGAAATACGCTATTATGTTTAGACCAGAAGTACTTTTAAATTCCTTTTAAACGATGTATATGGAACATAAATAGTTTGTATAAAAAATTGAATAGAAAGTGAAGAATGTAAAAAGTTTTTAAATCCCATTGTTGAAGTAGTAGCACTATCAGTTGTTGTTGTTGTTTGTGCTGTTGCTGTTCTTGCTGTTATAGTGATAGCAGTTGTTGTTGCTTAATTAACAGTATTCTGTTTAATCCTTCTGAGTTATAATTCGATTTAGGCTTTTTTTTTTTCTTTAAATATTGTAAATTTATGTTTGTCACTTACTTTAGATTATTTAACACTTTCGGTCCAAAATAATTGTCACTTAAAAGTGTTTTATTCTAAGAAATTATAATTGAAAGTGTTAAGTGTTTAAGTCTGAAGTAGTTTACACAACAGATGTTAAGAGATAGAAGGGGTTACACTGATAATGTGAATACATTGAACCACTGTAGCTGTTGTATATTATAAAAGAATGCAAGAACAGAATGTTGTACTTAGAGTTATAAAAGAATGCGAGAACAGAACGTTGTACTTAGAGTGACCAAGAAATGTGTGGTGAGTTGCTTGGTATTTAAAGAGTTATATCTGCATAGATTGAACAGCCCTAAAAAAAAAGGTTTATTTTTATTTTTAGTGCCATACATTTTTTACCTGATTTTACGTAAATGAGGCCCGCAAAATCCAAATATCACACTTTATTTACTGTAGCAGCTCTAGTTTTTTTTTTTTTTTTTTAGATTCGGCATTTGTATATTTCAGCATTTTGTTTACTGTGTTGTCAAAATAAAGAGAATTCTTCTTCTTCTTCTTTCTCTTCCACCTTTGTACCTCATCGAAGTGTCGGGGGGAGATGTAATGTTCGTTGATGAGCTCTGTCAAGAGCTGTATTAATACTGATTGATGTTCTTTTCTGTAAGGCTGTTCTTAATGACATCACTTCATCTTTTCCGAGGTCTTCCACTCGCTCTATACCTGTTGTAACGTTTTAGCTTGGCTCGCCTTGGCAGATAGTACCAGGGCATTCTTGTTAGGTGTCCAAACCACTTAAATTAATGGGGGGGAATACAAAAACGTTTCAATATCCAGATTTAGATTCTGCTAGACGACCTGTTCCACACAAATATGACATACCAGTTTCAATGTTTAGCCAGATTTGAGATTCCCTACGAGAAGATGAGACAGCAATGGCATGTAGAACAACAAGTGACAATGATTTAGAAGATGATTTTTCAGTTGTTTAGCACTTTGGCCAGTTTGAATTGAATGATCTAATCTGAGATCTGCATCTGTTCAAGAAACTGTTAGTGTCAAGATTGAAAGGAAAACAATAACTGACTGCTGAAACACTGGTCAAATTTTATCACAGCAGAGAGCAAGGTTTTCTTTCATTCTTTTGTAAAGAAAACAGCCTTGTGTTGTGTACAGTTTAGGAGGTCTTGTAAATAAAATTAGTGTAATTTTTATACCAGATGAGTGGCAACTTCATTGACAGCTCTAAAAAGAGTTTGAAAGGTGTTCTCTTACACAATTGTAATTAATATGGCTCAATTCTAATTGCTTCTTTTACTACAATAAGGGAGGAATTGCTAGCATCAGCATTGCTCCGGAAAATTAAAGTATTTAGAACATAAGTGGATGAGCTGACAACAGGAAATCCCAAGCAAATCATGTTAACTCCCACCTCCATTTTCTAGATCGCTGGGGTGAGCGGGTTAATTACTCACTCTAAAATGGTATTAAAACAGGATCCATTGTGGCCACGAAGCAATGTGCTCTTTATCTGCACTGGGGTAAAGGGGTTAATTACTCACTCTAAAATAGTATTAAAACAGGATCCATTGTCCTCACAAAGCAACGTGCTTTTTATCTGCACTGGGGTAAAGGGGTTAATTACTCACTCTAAAATGGTATTAAAACGGATCAATTGTCGCCATGAAGCAATGTGCTCTTTATCTGCACACATGCTGCAATGAAAAGTCTCAGTAACACATTTCAGATCTAATAAGGTCTACAGATATAAGAGTATGTTATATTCTTGAGCCAATTCCTAGATTTTTATAAAATGGGATAAAAAGTGCACAGACGGATGGCTGGGACACACCTGAAAAGTGGTACTGTCCCATTGAAAATGGGACATAGGTCATCTCAACTTTTAATGAATAAATAAACTGACAGACATATATTGCTTGTATTGTGTAGCTCAACCCCTCAGCCAGCACAAGTTTCCTAGGATGGGTGGTCGCAGCCTACAGTGTAGGGCAGCTTGTTGCTTCCCCGATTTTTTGGGGGCTGGGCAAATCTTCGTAGCAGCAGCCGAGAACCCCTGAGAGTTAGCCTGATGCTGACCATCTTGTCGAATATATTCTACACCTATCTGGAGTCACTGCCCTCCCACAAGGATTATTTCATGATATTGGCTAGAGGACTGATTGGTTTCAGTGCTGGTGAGCTTCAATTTTGTTTCCTCGTTAACTTCTACTGACTAATAATATCTCTTCTGGTTTAATGCATTACTTGACAAACGTCATCTTCTTCTTCATCATTCTAAACCTATGAGGCTTATTGCTGCAGATATCACTCATCTCCATTCATCTCTGTGATTGGCCTTTTCATTACCGTTGATTACTCCAGGTATTTTTAGATCTGCTTGACTAATATATCTCCACTGCCTTTTTTATTTGTCTCATGGTCTACTCCCATTTAACTCTTTTGTGTATGCAGTTTTTGTATCTCTGTTATCTGCTGTTCTCTCTGAATTTCATAATCATTAAATTCTATTAACCCTCATGATGGCAGTGATTAGTGGTGATATAAACAGATTATGAGCTGTATTGTTGCTTCTCACTCTCTCATCTCTGCTGTTGGGTTCAAAGATTCATCATTAGACTGTATTCTCAAAAATTTTTTAATAAAAGGCTTCATCTCTTTTAGTCATACTCCAGGTTTGAGAGCCAACTTTTAATGCTTATATGTGACATTTGACCAGCTAGATATTCTAGATAGCATTCATCATTTGACTCAGATAATCTTGAATAGATGTGACATATCACTTAACCATATAATGCTTATATATGACATATTCTTTGACTTGAATAGTCATGCTTAGATGTGACATGTCACTTAACCAAATAAGCTTATATGTGACATATTTCTTGACTCAAATAATCATGCTTAGATGTGACATCTCACTTAACTAAATAATGCTTTTATGTGACATATTTCTTGACTCAAAAATCATGCTTAGATGTGATATGTCACTTAACTAAATAATGCTTTTATGAGACATATTTCTTGACTCAAATAATCATGCTTAGATGTGATATGTCACTTAACTAAATAATGCTTTTATGTGACATATTTCTTGACTCAAATAATCATGCTTAGATGTGATATGTCACTTAACCAAATAATGCTTTTATGTGACATATTTCTAACCCACATGTCAGGTGTTCTTTGGGATTTTAAAAGTTAAACAACTGAAAAGGTCAGTATGAACCAGAAAAATTAAAAATTAAAAAAGGCAAAGAGCAGGAGCTGTTATAAATGAAGTATTTATGGAGCTGGAATTATGTAGATGTTTGGGGGGGGGGGGGGGGGGGGTTGGAGGGGTGGAGAGAACAGATCCTCTTCATGTAACAAATATGTCTGAAAGGTGAGTAATTAAGGTTTTGCTGAAATCAGATATTTTGGTTCAAAAGGCACAGATATCACAACCTGGCTGTATACCACAAAGCAACATACCAATCACCCTTTTAAGCCTTTTAAGAGCAAACACATAAGAAGACGAAGAAGGCAATGAAGGACTAACAAATACAGCAGCAGCAGTAGCAACAACACAACAACAACAACAATTATGTACTGGTTGCTATTGTTCTGTGGCTTCCTGCATAGTCCTCTCATCAGGTCTGACCCCTTTTTCACTTGCTGTTCTTGCATCCTATTTTATGGTTGCAGACTTGATAATCAAATTTCTTACTGCAAGGAAACCAGCCTTTTACTCTTTTTTTTTTTTCTCAACCAGGCAACGTTGCTGTGGTTAGGTCCTACGTGGCTGGTGCCACCACAGTTCAGGAGAGAACAGCCTGCATGGCAAACCTGAGTATCTGTCAAGCCATGGGGTTTATTCTTGGGCCAGGTAACCAGAACATTTAGTTGTCATTTTACAATTAAAATCTTTAGTTATATTAAAGATAAGCTGTCATCTTTTCCTCTTTCTCACCTTATATTGTCTTTCTGCAGTCTTTCTCATCTCTGCCTCTTCATTATCTCTTCTGTCTGTCTTTCTCTTTATCTTTTATCACGTCACCCTCTTCTCCTACTCTTATCTTTCATCTTCCTCCTTCCATCTGCATCCTTCTGATTCCTGTCCTCCCTCTCTTCACCTTTATTTGTATTTTCACCTTCCTCTTTCTCTTCTGCTACCTATAATTCTTTAATAGAACCAAATTGTAGCATTTTATATAGAGCTACATTTCAGCATTTGTTTTATAGAACAACTCATTTTCTTTCAGTAAAAGTGTAGGACCATTTTTCACACCTTCAGGCAAATTGGGCATATAGGGCTAGACTTATATTTTGTAGACCATTCAGTGGGTGGTGTGGTCAAAATCTAGCCGGCCGCTGTTATTTCCCAGGACTTTACCTGGTACCAATTTAAGGCTAGGGCGACCTGGAAGCCATGGCTATTATTTTTTTTTTTAAGTCCTGCCAAGTGTAGATTTGAACCCATGACCTTTAGGCCTACAGGTGGGCATCTAGCTGCTACATCAAATTTCTGTAGAGTATCATACGGCGTGATTGGTACTGAAAGATATAAGTTGTTCATGTTCTTTGTCTACAGTGATACAAGCAACCCTAGTGCCCATATCATATCCAGGACCAGTGCAGAGTGTGTACTTTCATCTAAACATGTACACTGCCCCAGCACTTCTGTCGGCTTGTGTTGCCACTATCAGCCTCCTCTTTCTCATCTTTATGTTCAAGGAACATCGTGTTTATGATGATGATGTCAGAGCAGTTCTCCAAAACAGATCAGTGGATGTTGAAGCTTCTCAGAGTGTTAATGGGTCCGGTAAGTTGTAACTTTCTAATAAAAGAAAATTAGTAAAATTTTAAAAATTATAAAATAGAGTAAAATGATGGCTTCATGATAAAGTTATAGATGTTCTATCTTCTGTTATTCTGCCTTTTATCCCTCTGTGGAGTATAGGCCCTCAGTCAACTCAAGTCATCCTCTCTTTAGCTGTCACATGCAGCTTTCCCCATGTTATATCTGTTTTTTTTTTTCCTCAAGTCCGTTTTTAGGCCCCTTAATTTTTTTTTTTCATTGTGTATATTTCTGTGATCCATTGAATTTCGGTGCATTCTAGTTATTTTATCAGGTTTTCACAATGCATGCACTATCCAATGTCAACGTCTTTTCCTCACCTCTTGTTTCACAAGAATTTATTTGGATCTCTTCTGAAGCTCTGCATTAGTCTTCTTCTTCTTCTTCGATCCTTCTGTCAGAAAACTTATATCAGGAGACCGGTGGCCTTTATGAAAGCTAAAATGCAGTCCATATCTTCTCGTGTACCATACAGTTGTCTTCATTGTGGTTGGAACAGGCCAGATTGCGTCTCTGTTGTCAACATACAGTTGATAGTGTTGAAGCACATGCTCAGCCTTTTTGGGTGCCAAGTTGCAGGGTGCATCTCCGTGTTTGGTACCCCGAAAAGTTTGAACATATGTTGATGAAGTCTGTTGTGCCCTGTCCTTTGTCTGAATATAATAGACTGTGCATCTCTAGAGAGGCGATGAAGCAAATCTTGATAGAGAACTTGGTGTGTGTATCCAGCCACCTTTCTTGGATACTATCTATTATGCACAACCACCAGTCAATGAAAATACGTAGTTTATTAGTAATTGTTTTAGCTGTTCTCCATTTTCAGCTCCACGATTTGAGATTAGAGCAGTGGTTCCCAACCTTCATAATGCTGCCAGCCTTTAATACAGTTCCTCATGTTGTGGCCACCCTTTAATACAATTCCTCTTGTTGTGGCCACCCTTTAATACAGTTCCTCTTGTTGTGGCCACCCTTTAATACAGATCCTCTTGTTGTGGCCACCCTTTAATACAGTTCCTCTTGTTGTGGCCACCCTTTAATACAGTTCCTCTTGTTGTGGCCACCCTTTAATACAGATCCTCTTGTTATGGCCACCCTTTAATACAGTTCCTCTTGTTGTGGCCACCCTTTAATACAGTTTCCTCGTGTTGTGGCCACCCTTTAATACAGTTCCTCTTGTTGTGGCCACCCTTTAATACAGTTTCTCTTGTTGTGGCCACCCTTTAATACAGTTTCTCTTGTTGTGGCCACCATTTAATACAGTTCCTCTTGTTGTGGCCACCATTTAATACAGTTCCTCTTGTTGTGGCCACCATTTAATACAGTTCCTCTTGTTGTGGCCACCCTTTAATACAGTTCCTCTTGTTGTGGCCACCCTTTAATACAGTTCCTCTTGTTGTGGCCACCCTTTAATACAGTTCCTCATATTGTGGTGACCCCCAACCATATAATTATTTTTGTTGCTACTTCATAACATCAGTGAATATGTGTTTTCTGATGGTCTTAGGTGACCCCTGTGAAAGGGTCGTTCAACCCCCAAAAGGGGTCGAGACCTGCAGGTTGAGAACCGCTGCATTAGAGCTCCATAATTTGAGTCTGAGTTTGGCACTAGTGGTTTTTTTTTTCTAATTTCCTTTGACTTCTGTCTACCTTCCATTATATCAATAAATCATCATCATTAACCTCCACTTTTGCCATTAAGTATTGTGGGGAGGAAAATTTTGCAATCTGTTGCTCAATGGATGGCAGTGACTATTGTCATTCTGTGTGGATGCTTAAAGTCTTTGTCGAAAATTCATCCTTTTCACCTGCTCCTCTTGCTCTCCTATCAGATCTTTTTAGGTTACTGACATTACTGAAATCTTTAATGTGGGCAATAAGACTGACCATTGGAAAGTCCTTGGAAAGAGAGACAGAGGAAGACAATGTGAAAAGATTCATGGCAGGGCATCGAGGGATGTCAACATACTAACTGATACACACAGTTGCAGACTGCAGATTGTGGAGAGGCATGATCCCCTGTGCTAATATGCATGGAACTTGATAATGATGATGATTACACTGGCAGTATACAAGACAGAAAACTGTGATGACCAGCGCACAAACAGGCTGCCGGTTTGGACTAAGGGCTTGGTTTGCACTGAAGCTATTTACCTCAAGCTCTAAAGATTGTGAGTTTCACCTGTCAGGTTCAAATGTGTACACAGCAGGTGCTTGGGGTTGTTGCTGGAGCTGTGGGAGGAAACCCTGTCCGGTTAAGCTGATGTTCTTGCCTTTATCCATTTTGTCTCATTAACCCCTGGGGGAAAAGGACCAAGAGCAAAGGAATTCCCCATGCACACAAACACAACTTTTTTTTATTTAAATACTGGAGTCAAAATGTATGAAGGAATAATCATTAAAATGGGGACAAAAATTACATAAATGTACCCCTTTGTCCTTTAAGAAAAAAAAATTTACAGTGACATCCACATTGCACAAAATGCAACTGCTGTATGGTGAATTCTGACATCATAATGACATTTTTAAAAAGCAGCTTTTTTTTCCCTTCCCCACACCAACCTCTCCCAACCCGCCTAAAGTGCTGTTTTTAGCAAATAAAATCATCAAGTGCCCTAAACACTGTGAGACAGTGACTGGGCAAAGCTGTAAAGCCAAATACCATGTAGGAATTTGTAGTGGATGGCAAAATCAGAATGACAGCTTCTCAGAGTTTAAGAGTTAAATAAGATCCCAAAGTTTCCTTTATGTTGATATATCTCCTAGTGCCTACAGCAACCTTGCTTGTCATTTTCAGCACTGACAGACTCTCTGAAGCAGATTGAGTACAAGCTGGACTACGTTGCTGTCTTCTCAACCATTTTCTTGTTTTTTGGTGTCTTATTTTTATTCACTGTTTTTGAAACGTAAGTTGGATCTTAATTTGAGAGTATAATGCATTTTATTAACTTTATTTATTCCTTCCTTCTACAATAACTTACTTTAAATGAAGGATGGAGACAAACTAGTTATTGTTCATAGATAATGTAATAATAAATTAAAGGTAGTGATTGCCACTGATAGGAAGAATTTTGAAGTAATGGGAATGGTAGCAAAAATAAGAATTACTAGAAGACAGAAAATAGAGAAACATTTTATTTCAAAGTTTTGAATTTTCTGGTGTTAATGTTATTTTGATCTCTCTGTATTTTGATATATGTACTCCTTGCTTAATTTTATATACTTTTTACATCATGCGTTTTATGGACTTCATTTTAAAATATGTATGTATATATATATATCAAAATATATATATATAGAATATATATATATATATATATAATATATATATATATATATATATAAATTATGTGCCGTCTCCGCAATTAATGTGGATTACAGTATACCACTGTTGTCTTTTGGAATATATACATGCTGAGGCCTTAGTCTCTTCCACGGTGCAACTCTCGTCTACAGTCCGAAAACCATGAGAACAAATTTTATTAACTGTCCACCATTAGGTAAAAACCCTAGTACTTCATGATCATCAAATTGTTACCCGCATTCACTAACCTTTGATCCATGGAGCTGCACTTCAGTAATCTTCTTTTATTTTTTATAGACTTTCTTCCTTTCCCTCCTTCCAGTTGTACGAAAAATAAAAAAGTTGACCATGTTCAACCTGCTGTGAACAGTGATCGATGCACGCAGTATTTTTTGGTTATATTTGTGGTCTGATTTATCTGTACCAAGTTTATTGGCTTAGATTTGTGTATGTGTGCCAAGACTGAAGGCTAAGTGTTCCTGTCTGAGTGTATTGTCCACCTAGATGTGTGGGTTTCATTCTGGTCCCTCTTTACCTGCTCCTCTTGTTGTTTGTGCCTCGTATGTTCTGGTTGTGTTGTTTGTAGTTTCTGCCCAGGTGAGGGTCCTTTCCCTTGACATTCTGTGTCTCCCATTGTGTGGTTCTGAGAAGGTTCTATCATGTTAATGATCCACACTGCTTACAGCGAGCACTGTGCAAGAACCATTGCTGTTACCACCACAGTACTATGGAAATCTTGTTTCAAGTTTTTGAGTGTTTGAAGTGCTGAAACCAGTTTTTTTATTTTGGATAGAACCAAAAGTATCTGCTTTTTTTGGTTTAAATAGGCTTATATACATCTAAAATTGCCTTTTTTTACTGTTTTGTAAATCTTGCTGAATTTCTATATTCTATACATCTTGTTGTGTAAATCTTGCTCAGTTTCTATATTCTATGCATCTTGTTATTTCTGTAGACTTATGTACATTGTGCTATGTTTCTTTGTTGTGTAGATCTTGCTGAGTTTCTATATTTTATGCATCTTGCTGTTTCTTTAGTAAAACTCTTTGTATTTTAATTAATTAATTTATATCTTTCTCTGCTTTTATGAAGTTTTGAATCTTTTTTTTAATTAGTTTTCTCAGATTTAATTTAATCAGAATAATTTAATTAAATCTTTTTTTTTATTTATTTTTTAAATTAGTTTTCTCAGATTTTAATTTAATTAGAATAATTTAATTTCATTCTGTTATATATGATTTGTTATTCATATGCTCAAAATTTTATGATGAAATCAACCAAGTATTGGACTTTTGACAATATAAATTATTTTTAAAAAATGATAAAAATATTCAGAAATTAAAAATAAACTATATGTAATTTAGCTACGAAATGCATGTAATCTAATGATAAAATAAGCATCTTTAAGCAGACAAATTTGCAGCGTTATAAAATATATGGTAATGTATAATAAAACATATGTATTTCATTTTTTTTAAATATAAATTGTTTATAATAAACTTAATGTGTATTGATAATAAAATATGTGAATTAATAATTAAATATGTATATCAATAATTGTCGGCATATGTGGCTTAGGGATTGTGAACGCGCTTACCGGAGAGCCGGGTTCAATCCCAGCTGCAGACGGTTTATCTTGCATTGGTTTCAGCAGTGGTACCGAGAGCTGACCATTTAGGAAGCAATGGCAAACTACTGAACGTAAAATTTGCTTAGAAAAACCACAACAGCTATAATTGCTGGTGTTGGTTCTGCAACGTCATGTAAGGGATATGCAAATATATACATTTTAAATAAATAAAATATCTGCAGCCGTATCAAGTATGGCGTGATACTCAACAACTGTTTGTTTTCAGGATTGGGACACCACTCACTATGGACATGTATGCCTGGAGCAAGTCAAAAGCTACACTTTATCAAGGGATCATTCTTGGAGTTGCTGGATTGTTGTCTATTTTAGTCTTCATGCTGGTGAAAATCCTGGCCAAAAAGTAACTTTTGTTTTTTTTTTAAATTTTTTTAATATGTATTTTGATATCTGCTTTTACCCTCAAAAGGGTAGTTGGCACAATGGCTGTGTTGTGGTTTACAGCTAGGCTGTGATATCTATGGCTTTCAGCCCAACACATCCAGTTTTTGCAAATACTTAATTAGCTGCCTTCTTATGAAGCTGTCTGTCAGCTCGCCCCTCCCCCCAAAAGTGGGTCCCCAGAACCTACAGTGGGAATTGCTGCTTGTTTATGGTTTTTAGTAAAAGACCCTTTTCCAGGCCTTTAGATGTATGGGGCATATAGGGCTAGACCTATATTTTTATAGACCAATCAGCACATGATGGGTGATGTGGTCAGCATCACGCTGGCCGCCTTTATTTCCTGGGACTGCACCCGGTACCCACTCAAGGCTGAGTCGACCTGGAAGTCAAGGTCATTTTTTTTAAAAGTCCAGCTCCACCAGGGAGCGAACCCACAACCTTCCAATCTGCACAGGAGCATCTAGCCGCTACGCCACGGTGACTCCCTGTTAATGGTTTTAGGAGACCAAAAATGGTAAAATGTTTGTTTCATAAGTTGAGGAAACCAAACATGCATTTTGATATGAATGTTTTCAAAATTAGCAATTATCAATCATATTACTGATTAGTGATGTTTGTTTTTAACCCTCTGTCCCCTAAAAACACAAAACCTGGCTCCTTCTGGTTTATGTCATGGCCCAGTTAATGTCTCTTTTCCTGCTTACTATAGAAGCGTGTTCACGAGGTGTCACGCTAACAGCATTGCTTCCTTTTTTTCCTGAGCAACTTTTTAGGATGGTCAGGAACAAGTATAGCTACTTAGGTGGGATTTCTTTGTGGAAAATGGCTCTACTTAGAGAAATGAGGTCACCAGAATTTCCCATTAGTTACAGTGATAACTGGGAGCCTGGAGCACAAGTCAAAAACGGGTCACACACACAATAATTTATTGAAAGCTCAGAGATATGTAACCCACTCAATTCTCTGCCGCATTTATGTTTATTGAATACTCTCGCTATTTTGTATACTGTCAAATATTGTTTTAGTCCATGAATGTAAATATTTATGATTTGTTTTTTCTGACCCATGAACCCCAAATTCTAAAAAATATGGGTTTTACAAAAAATTGGTCTAGATCACCAGGGTGAAAGGGTTAATGAGGGCTATCAAAAAATCACTCTGGACAGGTCCATAGGGGCTGTGATCTCTTCAGAAATTCTGCAAACATAAAATAATTGATAATTCCTGTAAAAGTAGTAATATCATTTGCAGAGATCTGCTTCTTGTAGTCCATGTCATGCAAACTTGGTAATCATCTCAGTCAACAGCCTTCTGTCTCCTGCACTGTCGGCCACTTTGGATACAGATCTTCTTCCATGTCATGACGCCAAACTGTCCTTAATCTTTTCTGTTGGTCTACCTCTGCCTCTCTTGCCCTTAGACTTTTCTATTTTCATTTTTGTTTTTCAAATTCAAATGCTACAGAAAAATTCTTTTAATAGACAAACAAGTAGAAAAAACATGGTTGACATCCGACATGATCTGAACATCGAAGGAGAATTGGCTCATAAACAGCATCCTGACCTGAAAGCTGGGGTATTTTGTCCATGTAAAATGCCATGATGACCCGGAGAGAATGGTGACAGAGGCTACAGTTTCCAGGATAGTGCAGGAGCAGACCCTCATGTAGGTGGATACATGACATTGCAGATGCATTGGATATGAAAGCATATAGGGCTGGAAAATTGGCTAGAGAAAGAGAAACTTTCAGGTGTGCTGTGATGAGAGCGAAGTTCTGTAAAGAGCTTGATGACGAGTGAGAACTGGTGAAGTGGTCCACATGACATCGTTCATCTGAAGTAAAGGACCCTTTCTGATGCCTTCATCCATTTTGGGGATATAGGGCTAAACTTGTATTTTATAGACCAATCGGCACTAGTTGGATAATGTGGTCAGCATCACACCGGCCACCTTTACTTCCCATGATTCCACCTGGTACCCATTCCAGGCTGGGTCGACCTGGGAGGCAAGGTCTTTTTTGAAGGCTCTAGTCTCTTCCACAGTACAACTGTCATACTAATGTTCACAAATCATGAGAGTGATGTTTTGTTGTGAAAAGCACCCACTACAGAAATCAAACCCTAGTACTCGAGGATCATGCAATTGTTGAATGCATTCACTAACCTTTAAGCTACAAAGTCTCTTATTTTTGCAGATCATCATCATCATCAAGTGTGTTGCCAACTAGCATGGGCTATCATTGTCTTCCTCTGTCTCTTTTTCCACACATGTTCCAGTTTCCTTTTTCTCATAATATGATCAAGCCATGATAACTTTCTCTTTCTGATTTGTGATAAGTTGTGTCTTTGAGCCCTCACCTTTTTCAGAATATCTGGGCTGCTCTTTTTGGCTTTCAAAGAAATGTTAAGAATTCCTCTGTAAAAACCTCCAAGGCCTCAGAAGTTGTTTAGCTTCTTAATTATTTTTCAAGGATTCAGACACAAACTGGCAACCAGTAAATGAAAAAGAAACAATCAAAGATTGCAGGATACACTAAATTGTAAGCAACTGCCTGGAGAGGGAAGGAGCCTGGAGAAGGGAGAGCTAAGGAGGTGGACCCGGAGAAGGCAGTTGCCTGGAGAAGGTAGGAACCTGGAGAAGGGAGAGCTAAGGAGGTGGACCTGGAGAAGGCAGTTGCCTGAAGAAGGTAGGAACCTGAAGAAAGTAGTAGCCTGGAGAAAGTAGTAGCCTGGAGAAAGTAGTAGCCTGGAGAAAGTAGTAGCCTGGAGAAGGGAGAGCTAAGGAGGTGGACCTGGAGAAGGCAGTTGCCTGGAGAAGGTAGGAACCTGGAGAAAGTAGTAGCCTGGAGAAAGTAGTAGCCTGGAGAAAGTAGTAGCCTGGAGAAAGTAGTAGCCTGGAGAAAGTAGTAGCCTGGAGAAAGTAGTAGCCTGGAGAAGGGAGAGCTAAGGAGGTGGACCTGGAGAAGGCAGTTGCCTGGAGAAGGTAGGAACCTGGAGAAAGTACTAGCCTGGAGAAAGTAGTAGCCTGGAGAAGTAGTAGCCTGGAGAAGGGAGAGCTAAGGAGGTGGACCTGGAGAAGGCAGTTGCCTGGAGAAGGTAGGAACCTGGAGAAAGTAGTAGCCTGGAGAAAGTAGTAGCCTGGAGAAGGGAGAGCCATAGATAAGGCAGTTGCCTGGAGAAAAGAATAGCCTGGAGAAGGTAGGAGCCTGGAGAAGGTAGGAGCCTGGAGAAGGTAGGAGCCTGGAGAAGGTAGGAGCCTGGAGAAGGTAGGAGCCTGGAGAAGGTAGTAGCCTGGAGAAGGTAGTAGCCTGGAGAAGGTAGGAGCCTGGAAAGGGGAGGAGCCTGGATAAAGGAATAGCCGAGAGAAGTGAAGTGCCTGGAGAAGGGAGAGCTATGGAGAAGGACCTGGGAAAGATACAGCAGACAAACTTAAGAATATGTTGTGTCACTATGAAGGTAAGGGTTGTTAGAGACAAGAACTTGAATAGATACAATGTTAGATGAGATTACAGAGTGACTTTGTAAATGCCAGTAGTTGCACATATCAGAGACATGAAAAACATAGTTATGAAGATATCGTTACAGTCTGACATTCTGCCTGCAGAACATGAAATACTGAATACACCACAAACTACAACTAGAAAAACCAATGGACAACAAAACAGACTCACAAACAGCTAGAATCAAGTTTCCATGTTGTCTTGTCCGTATACAGGCATACACCAAAAGAGAAGGATGTAGAGCACAAAGTAGTCTAAGAACAAGATGAAAAGATAACATCAGGATGTAGAGCGCAAAGTAGTCTAAAAACAAGATGAAAAGATAACATCAGAGAAACTCTACAGCAGCACGATGTGTCTATGGTTGAGGTGGCCAGGAGAGCAAGAAGCAAAACCTTACATCTCACTCTACACCCAGAGTGGTCAAAGAGGAAGTATAGAAGAAGAAGAAGTTATCTTGTGCATTGAGTTTCCATCAGCAATGTATGATGTATTAAGTATTTCTTGGTATAAGCTGGAAAGCAGTCCCTCTTATTTATATCAAAAGCGTCTCTCATGAAGATGATGTGACATCTAATATGTTTCAGGTTTAATGAGCGTTACCTGTTGCTTGGGGGTTTCACTTTCTGCCTGTTTGGTTACTTCACAATGATTCCCTGGGGAAACAGCCTTCCTCCTATAGGATACATACGTAAGTAGTGCAGAGGTACACTTTGTTGATGTTAGTAGTTCTGTTTATGTCAGAAGTTCTGCTGATGTCAGTAGTTCTGTTGATGTCAGTAGTTCTGCTGATGTCAGTAGTTCTGATGATGTCAGTAGTTCTGATGATGTCAGTAGTTCTGCTGATGTCAGTAGTTCTGCTGATGTCAGTAGTTCTGCTGATGTCAGTAGTTCTGCTGATGTCAGTAGTTCTGTTAAAATCAGTAGTTCTATTTGTGTCAGTAGTTTTGTTAGTTTATTAGCAGTTTCATTTTGTAAACAGGCATGCAGATAAATTAAGCCACCCTGATGGTGTCCCAGGACCATGGCTCATGCCGGTCAAGACTGATCTACAACCTATCCCTGGTTTTTCTAGAAACAGGTTCTCAACTGGGAGCCTGGTCAGTATTGAAAGGACTGGTGTTTCCTTCTAATGCAGAGTGCATCTGCTTGAGAGGCCAGGAACTAATAATCTGCACACAAATAACTAGATCTGTATTATGAATTTGCACACAGTGCTCAAGTTATGGAACAAGATCATCATCCCAGTGTGGGTTCTGAGGATCCTTCGTGGGGAAAACAAGAACAGACCCACTGACTTCCCAATAAGCATGTCATAAGACTCAACTATTTGTTTCCTTTAAAGTCAGAGTGCATCTGCTAGGGAAGAAAAGAACCAAGTGTGGATACAGATAAGCCATATATGTTATGGCTGTGAAATGTGGACTTTAACAGCTGAACTCAAAAAGAAGATGCAAGCACTGGAAATGTGATCTTAAAGAAAAGTTCTTGGCAACTAGGAACCTCATTTAACTAGAGCAAAAAGGTGGAAAATCCAAAGGTACAGACATTAAAAAAAAAAAAAACTAACGGCCTCTCAAAAACAATACTGCAGGGACAAGAGGCACACCAAGAAAGACCTGGATACAGAACTTGACTGACTGGTCAGGCCTTAGGTATACAACCATGAAGTTCGTCACATCTGACCGTCAGAGCTGGAGGAATCTGATGGGTCAGTCAGCAGCCAATGGTGACCCAACGACACTCAGCGTTACGGGAAGCAGAATAACCAGAAGTTTCTGCAGAGGTTTGCAACTGGTGAATGTGAAGGAGAAGAAGAAGGAACAAGAAAAGAGTCGAGAAGTGGAATAATAACCAGGACTTTCTGCTAGAGGATCTGCATTTTTAGGCACAGATGTTATAAACAGAGGGAGTCACCGTGGCCGAACGGCTAGACGCTCGTCGCGGATCGGAAGGTTGTGGGTTTGCCCCCTGGCGGAGCCAGACTTTTTTCAAAAATGACCTTGGCTCCCAGGTCGACTCAGCCTTGAGTTGGTACCGGGTGCAGTCCCGGGAAAGTAAAGGCGGCCGGCGTGATGCTGACCACATCACCCATCTTGTGCCGATTAGTCTATAAAAATATAGGTCTAGCCCTATATGCCTGATGGCGTAGAAAAGGGTCCTTTATGTTACGTTACGTTATAAACAGACTGCAGTCAGGTAGAATACCAGGAATATTCATATAAAGAACACAGTGGCTACAGATGAAACAATAATGAACAGAGATGCTGCACTGACATGTTGTAATGATGAACATGTTCACAATTTTAGCTTTAAAAAAAAAAAATATCTAATCAAACAGGTAATAAAGAAGGTTTATGATCTGCCTGGAGTCACTGTGGTGTAGAGCCTAGATGCTCACCTGAAGATCGGAAGGTCATAGGTTCAAGTCCTGACGAAGCCTAACTTTTTTCAGAAATGGCCTTAGCTATCAGGTTGACCTAGCCTTGAGTGCAGTCCTGGGAAGTAAAAGGTGGCCAGCGTGATGCTGACCACATCACCCACCAAGTGCCATTTGTAAAACATCGGTCTAGCCCTATATGCCCAATACAGCTGAAGGTGTGGAAAAGAGTCCTTTTATAATCTGCCAGCTATCAACTATTTACGCAACATCATCATATTGCAGGTTCTTTATAGAATGTTGCTCCAATCAAAACCCACTAGAAAGAAACTTGGTTTCTTACCAGCTCTCCCATCTCATTCACTTTCCTTATCAAAGGTGTCTCCCACATCCTGTACCCATTTTTGAACTGGTCTACTCTTGCCATTCTTGCCTGGCTTGACACCTACACTACCGTTCATTCCAAGCCATTGCGATGTTTGATACATCCAGAGTAATTCAGTTTCCAAAGCAAGATGATGTGTATGAGCCAGTTTTCTTCTGAATTCACATCTTTTAGAATGTTAAAATTTTTCTTGGTCCACAGTATTTTAAGAGTCTTTGTGTAGCATTTCAGCTCAAAAGCATCTATTTTATTCCTTAGTGTTTTCGAGGCAATCCCAACTTACATTGATATGTTGCTGCAGTAAATATACATGCTATCAAAATTCTGACTTTAATTTGCTTACTGGTGCTTAACCAGAGGCTTTTGATGCTATTTAAGTGTTGCACTGCTGAGACCATCCTACTCCTTTCAACTTCTTTTGAACAGCTTTAGTTGTTGTTTATTATATAGTCTAGATAATAAAAGATTGTGACATTTTTTTTCTTTGATGCTGATTTTTTAAATTTTGTGTAACATGTAGTTTTTGTCTGTGAACATTAATTCATTGTTTGTTTCATTTCATAAAAATGGTTTTTATCTTCACTATGATTTATTTTTGTATACCCCATTTTACACTGTTTCTTACTGAAGCTCCAGAAGACATCCCTGTATTTTGGGACCCCTGTATAAACTGAAGCTCTAATCAGGGTTGTTTCCTTCAATGTAGTGATTGTTGTATGCAGAACCAATGTCTGTACAAGACAATGCCCCCCCAACAAGCTAAAAGTTCAGTAGTGGACGAACAACCTGAATTTCCTGCTATTGTTCACAACCAGTGAACATGAAGAGAAAAGAAGAAGATTGCTGCAGATATAAGTGGATCAAAACTGTGACACTTGATCATTTTTACTTTTTTATTGTTATGCTTTCTGCTCATCTATTGAAGAGGCATGGTAAAAAAAATGTAACCCTGCCTCATTTCTTTTGCACCATGAACCAGTTTGATGTTTCTTTAGCTTCTTTGATGACTGCTTGTTATTTATGGTATATGTTTACTCATCAGCCATACATTTTCTAAATCATTAACTTTAAAGCTTTTGATTCCCTCTTACTGATTTTCTTGTTCAACAGATTCTGTATAATTTGCTGTTTTATTTATATCCACAGCTATCAACCAGTCAGTTTCATCATCTGACGCCATATTTGCCTTGTCCGACTTCATAATCAACAACCATTACACAGACAGCCCAGTCTTCACAGCTCATAAACTATCAAAAAGGCAAACCTCTTTTGGCAGCCACAATCCAGAATTTATACGCAATTTTAATATACCAGTGACTGGGGAAAACAACAGTTCATATCATTTTGTAAATATAAATAATATATCAGACAATGATACCAGAATAGCTTTCATCGATACCAATGGGCGTGATAAACAGGAAAGGCAGGATTTAGTGACACGTCCAGCAGCAGAGGCCGCAACCAGGGCCACAACGAACACTACGAGTTTTGTCACCAACAGCACATTCCCACCCAACGGATGCCCCTGGCAGTACGAATGGTGCCGGCATGTACCTATGATCTACCTGGCTCAGTTCCTGGGTGGCACTGCTCTCATCAGCATAGGCTACCCAGTCTGTAATATGCTAACCTACGCCCTCTACTCTAAAGTACTGGGTCCTATGCCCCAGGTAAGACTGTCCACTTTTGTATCTTGTATGTTTTTCCTTTATTGAAACCTTCACTGGGAAGTAAACGGGTAGTGAGCATACTTTCAATCTTTTCTCCAGGCCATGCCGGCATAGTGGGTAATGAACAGGCAGAAAGATTGGCTGGATCTGCACCACTAGGTGGTGAATTTATACATGACAAGGCAAATGTGGTCAAGGCCCTTTGGGAACAAGCAACAGAATCAGTACAGAAACAAATTATTATGGTCTGGAGAGAATCTTCTTCTTTCTTCTTCGCGTTCACCAGATGTAAACTCTGGCAGATAGTTCTGGTTGTTCACCGACTTCTGGACTGCAGTCCTGTTCCTGAACCTAAGTGTTGCGTGTACATCCGTTTTACAGATCTGACTCATCTGTATCCAGACTGCAGATTCCTTGCCTCTCAGGCAGATGCACTCCTCTTTGAAGGAAGCTCCCATTTAGTCCACTCTTATGACATGCTTTTGGGTAGGCAGTGGGTCTATTCTTGTTTTCCCTATAACAGGGCCCCGGAACCCACACGGGGACCTGGAGAGATTGAGACACCTGGGTGTAACCAGAGGGTCTAGTCAGCTCACTACACTCAGAGGAAAGGCAAGATGGACTCGTAACCATATTGTGAACAGTACCATCAGTATTGGAACACTGCGCTGGCTGCTGAAGATGAGGACGGAGCACACATGGGAATGCCCTGAGTGCTGTGATGTCAATTCTTGACTCAATTCAACTCCTTTATTGAAATATCATAATAAAACTGAAACATTTATCATGAAATAAAATGATTTCATAAAACATGGCAATTGAACTAAGTTAACACAGGGGCCAGATTCATGGACATTGTAATAAGTGGTGTTTATATTTCTCGTTGTCTAGGTGGTGTTCATGCGTGTGTCGTGAATGTTCTTCTCACACACTCCACGTTACATAATGGTCTATGTAAGCTTACAGACATAAGTTTATGGCATATGGACACTTACAGTAAAAGTTGTTGTCCTAATCACAGCTCTCGCACACCAATTCACGCAACCTTCAATGAGCGGTTTTCTTCAAGCATTCACTGACCAAAGTCGGCTCCCATCAGTTCAGTTGAGGTTCTGGCCATTAAACAGACTACGATCTTGGCTTCACACTTCGTCGTCAGGGTCTCCTTTCTCAACAAGCATCTTATGTTGGCATTCTCACGTTCAGTCGCACATCCTCTCGCTACTGGTCGACACAAACTAAACTTGCAGAATCAAGTCTGTCACGGGTTAGTTTCACGTGGCAACACGTGGTGGCACCACCTTTGGTCGCGTTGCCAGTTGAATAGACCCTGTCATAGAATATCAAAGAATCACCATATCTCTAATCCTCGTTTAATCCGATGAACATCTCGGTGTTTTGGGTTAGCTTTGGGCCTTTTCCTAATCTGGTGAAAATTATACTGTGTATCAGCCAAGGAAGACCACTAAACAATACCAATGGTAACGATCTGCGGGGCCACTAGGCCTCTTCTGGTCAAATGAAGCCCATGGGCTGCCAGTTGAATAACCCTGTCATAGAACATCAAAGAATCAAATAGTTTGTTTATCTGTGTGGGTTTCAGGGCTCCATTTTGGGGAAAACAAGAATAGACCCACTGCCTCCCCAACAAGCATCTCATAGGAGTTGACTAATTGGGAGCATCCTTCAAAGTCATGCCTCTAGCTGAGCAGCAAGAAACTAACAGTCTGTATGCAAATAAGTCAGATCTGTAAAATGGGTGAGCACACAACACTCAAGTTCTGGAACAAGGCTTAAGTCCAGGCGTGGGTGAACAACCAGAACTCTCTGCTGGAGTTTACACCCAGTGAGCATGAAGAAGAAGGAAAGAAGAAATGGTTTGGTCATCTGGTCAGAGTAGAACAAAATCAGCCAGCAGCTAGTCTGGACTGTATGAGAACAGCAGGCTACAATTCTTTCTCCTTCGGGTTTACTGGCTGTAAACTCTGGCATAATGTCTTGGTGATTGTTCACTTCTGGACTCTGGTCCTCCTCCTGGACTTGAGTGTCAGTGCACATCAGTTTTACAAATCTGGCTTATTTGTGTGCAAACTGTTGGCTCTATAATCCAAGCCCAATAGTCAAATCGTCTTAGAGTCGAATCAGTCAAGCCATTTTCATTTGTATAATTTTATTTTAAATACTCCACATGCAGTACATTATATAAACATTTGAATTTGATGCAATAGAATCGGAAGATCTAAACGTGGAAACCCTAACATACATATGCCTAACTAAAAGACGGTAAATGGCTTGGCCACGTTTGCAAACGAATTCTGATATACCTGCCAATACAGCTCTCACTTGGACACCAGAAATAAAGAGAAAGAACAACATGGAGACGAATGAAGGAAAGTGAACTGAGTGCTGCATCTCTGACATGGAAAACTTCACTGAAGATTGCATAGGTCAGGAAGGCATGGAATGTCCTCTCTGATGTATCATGTGCCACTAGGCATAAAGAGAATTGAACACACATATTACTGGCTAAGACATTATACATAATGAATATTGGATAAGGGAATCCAGATGCAGGAAGTCCTAAAGGGCATTAACTCTTGTTGTCTTGAACAATGACCTATTCATGACAGAGTGTTATTCCTGTGTACCAGTCAACATGTTATGTATGTTTTTACACATTATGTTTAGTGAGCGACTCAAAGAACTTTGTTTCCTACAGGGGTTGTATATTTGGCCTCTCTGGATCTAGTATACCAATGAGTCTAGTATTCCCATTTGTAACACAAACATTAGCTAGATCTTGGACTGAAAGAATCACACATCAAGATATCATGAGATTTAGGATTTCTAGATTTGAATATATTTACTAAAAAAAAAATCATCGGGGTGGGTTGGGTGGGTGGGTGGGGGGGGGGGGGGGGTGGGGGGGATTTGTGAACAACATGGCTTTTTAGAGACATCATAACTAACCCGTAGCCTCAGTGGTAGAGGGTATTTGTGAACAACATGGCTTTTTAAAGACATCATAACTAACCCGTAGCCTCAGTGGTAGAGGGTATTTGTGAACAACATGGCTTTTTAAGACATCATAACTAACCCGTAGCCTCAGTGGTAGAGGGTATTTGTGAACAACATGGCTTTTTAAAGACATCATAACTAACCCGTAGCCTCAGTGGTAGAGGGTATTTGTGAACAACATGGCTTTTTAAAGACATCATAACTAACCCGTAGCCTCAGTGGTAGAGGGTATTTGTGAACAACATGGCTTTTTAAAGACATCATAACTAACCCGTAGCCTCAGTGGTAGAGGGTATTTGTGAACAACATGGCTTTTTAAAGACATCATAACTAACCCGTAGCCTCAGTGGTAGAGGGTATTTGTGAACAACATGGCTTTTTAAAGACATCATAACTAACCCGTAGCCTCAGTGGTAGAGGGTATTTGTGAACAACATGGCTTTTTAAAGACATCATAACTAACCCGTAGCCTCAGTGGTAGAGGGTATTTGTGAACAACATGGCTTTTTAAAGACATCATAACTAACCCGTAGCCTCAGTGGTAGAGGGTATTTGTGAACAACATGGCTTTTTAAAGACATCATAACTAACCCGTAGCCTCAGTGGTAGAGGGTATTTGTGAACAACATGGCTTTTTAGAGACATCATAACTAACCCGTAGCCTCAGTGGTAGAGGGTATTTGTGAACAACATGGCTTTTTAAAGACATCATAACTAACCCGTAGCCTCAGTGGTAGAGGGTATTTGTGAACAACATGGCTTTTTAAAGACATCATAACTAACCCGTAGCCTCAGTGGTAGAGGGTATTTGTGAACAACATGGCTTTTTAAAGACATCATAACTAACCCGTAGCCTCAGTGGTAGAGGGTATTTGTGAACAACATGGCTTTTTAAAGACATCATAACTAACCCGTAGCCTCAGTGGTAGAGGGTATTTGTGAACAACATGGCTTTTTAAAGACATCATAACTAACCCGTAGCCTCAGTGGTAGAGGGTATTTGTGAACAACATGGCTTTTTAAAGACATCATAACTAACCCGTAGCCTCAGTGGTAGAGGGTATTTGTGAACAACATGGCTTTTTAAAGACATCATAACTAACCCGTAGCCTCAGTGGTAGAGGGTATTTGTGAACAACATGGCTTTTTAAAGACATCATAACTAACCCGTAGCCTCAGTGTAGAGGGTATTTGTGAACAACATGGCTTTTTAAAGACATCATAACTAACCCGTAGCCTCAGTGGTAGAGGGTATTTGTGAACAACATGGCTTTTTAAAGACATCATAACTAACCCGTAGCCTCAGTGGTAGAGGGTATTTGTGAACAACATGGCTTTTTAAAGACATCATAACTAACCCGTAGCCTCAGTGATAGAGGGTATTTGTGAACAACATGGCTTTTTAAAGACATCATAACTAACCCGTAGCCTCAGTGGTAGAGGGTATTTGTGAACAACATGGCTTTTTAAAGACATCATAACTAACCCGTAGCCTCAGTGGTAGAGGGTATTTGTGAACAACATGGCTTTTTAAAGACATCATAACTAACCCGTAGCCTCAGTGATAGAATTCAGAAGAATGGCATGCCACCCAATACATTTATTAGATAAGCTTTTAAGGCTTCATGAAGTGTATTGCATTTAGTGCTCCATTCGTTGTATTTACCAACTGCTCTCCTAATATATATTATTGGGGGGGGGGGGGGGGGGGATCTATACTAAACCACAAACCCTATCTGTATTTCATCAATTTATTATAAAACTTCTCAAAGACCGTCGGCTCTGTGGCTAAGTCGATGAAATCTTACAGAATGTTGAATAAGATCTCATTATTTGCATAGATAATATTAGATTCAGCAGTACACATATGAAAAGTTGAATCATTAATAACTGATGTGATATACTTTGTTCTGTGACAGGGTCTGTGGATGGGCTGGCTGACAGCCTCCGGCAGTCTGGCACGCGTGGTGGGACCAGTTTATGTCTCGCAAGTCTACGACTCGTTCGGACCTTTGATAACTTTTAGCAGTTGCTGTGGATTCATTGCATTGACAATTGTGTTCTATTTAGCTGTGTTTCGTCGAATTGTGCCGTTCTCATTTAAGGATAAATCTTTATCACGATTTGGGGCAAGCATTAGCGAGGAACAAATCAACTAGAAAAACAGTGAAATATATTGTTAACAAATATTTAAAAACCTGTTTTATCATAAGGAATTTAATTGATATGGACATAAATATTTCACAATTTTAAATTCCACAGTTGAGAAATCACCAGGCGGCAGTACGTTCTGCAATATGTTGTTTGCGTCTGCATTATTTATGTTAACATATAGTAAAGGCATAATTGAAACAAAAAATGTGCCTTAAATAATTCTCCCACAATTTAATTACCCAAATACAATGGTACTTTAGTATACGTCTGCTTTTTGAAAACTCCAACTTGGTATACGTCATGTTTAAATGCAAAAAAAAAATGGGCCTCATATATGACTTTTGTTTGGAATATGACTAGCATAATAAAACTTGTGAGCCTCATTCAGGTCCAAGCAAGGAGATGAGACAGGAAAAAGAAAGAGTAATTACCCTAAAGTTTCATATTTCTGCAGTTTTAGTGGAAGGTGACTGTCTTTCCAAATATCATCATCTGCTCCTTCACCTTCTCAGTACTATCTTAGTAGTCATTCGACTTTTCTTGGCAAGGTCAAATGAGTTACAATGGTTTTTTTTTTTATTTCAGCTAATTGATATTTTTTGTATTTATGAATTTTAGTGTTAAGCAGTGTTTAAATTATTTTATCCAACCCAAGCATTGTATAATATGCCATAAAATAGGATTTTTAAAATGGAAGTGGATAAATCATTGTCCCTTCATTGCTTATGGGAAAATTCATTGGTTGCACGTCCTATCTGGTATAAATCCAAACATCTCAAACAGTTTAAGGGCATATACTAAGATGCAACTGTATCGTCATGGAAACCAAAAGACAAGAAAGAACCTCAAAACAACACACTGACTATAGAGCTCAATGGAGGGAATAGAAAAGACATACAATCTGGAGGAACTGCACTTATCCCTATTTTTGAAGCTGAAAGACAATTAGTTAAAAGCTTGTTCATGCTGTCATTGTCAGACCCGGTCACCAACCAGGGCACAGGGCTTATGATAAACTGATCTGGTACACAAGGGTGATCATATCAGAAAGGATTATTAACCCTACCTTCCTGAGAAAGCCCGTTTTCCTACTTTTACGAGTGTTTGATGATATGACATCTTTGAGTACTGGCCTCTTCTTTCTTCTTCTTTTGTCAAAATCTGCTTGTGCCGCTAGGCGTCGCAGTCTATCAGATGATCGGCAACCAGGCCAGTAAGCTTATATAACAGCTTAGGAATTGATTGCAATTGCATAGTGTGTAGAAATTGTGGATATTATTATATTCAATTCCTCCCCTCGCCCCAGATTGCGTCTATGTTGCCAGCATATATTTGACAGTGTTGGAGCACATGCACAGTAATTTTAGGTGCAACTGTAGAGCACGGGAAAGACTGGAGCCAATGTATCAACATTTTACAACACATATATAAGGGGCTTTCAAATGAAAACCTCAAAAGTGTGATAGAATTTACAACCAAGTCATGATGATGAACATGATGACATCATAATGACAATTTAAAGATGGCCGTCCAACTTTTGACATGCACTAAAGAGGAGCAGCATTCTGTTAACCGTTTTTGATAAGTGAATGGATGAAACTTATAGAAATTTATCGGGGAATGAAGATCCATTATGACAAGGCATTCCGGTCAGTCCAGTAAGTGTATGAGTGGCATAGGAAATTTGAAGGTGGTGTGATTCTGTGACAGACTGTTCACGACTGGGTCAGGCTCACCAGTTAGTGAACCCCAGAGTCAACTGCAGTCACTGATAGCCTTGTACAGGAAAATTGCCAATTTACTTGAGCGACATTGCCGCATATCTTGACATCCATAAAGGGTCAGCACACCCCATCATCCAAATTGAATAACAGGATGCTGCTCCTCTTTGGTGCATGTCAAAAATGATGTGGCTGCCTTTAAACTCATGACATCACCTTGTTTTTGCACCAGTTGTCACATGCTTAACACTCTTGACATCCTTAACAATATTATTGTCAGGTTACAAGACGAGGGAATGGTTATTGTAACTACTGTCACACTTTTTGAGGTTTTCATTTGAAACCCCTCGTAAAAGTTGCTAAAATAATACACTTGTTACAGTTACGCCCCCACTGGGTCACATGACTGACCTTTTGGGATGCAAAGTGTTAAAATGACTATTGAATCTGTGATCATTTTTCCACATGTAAATGTGTGCCTTATTTAAGCAATGAATTGAAGTTTTTGGCTGTGTATGAAGTATTTCATTCAGATATCATTTGTATATATTATGTATGTATTCTTTTCTGAACCCCTTTTAACTACAGTGAAAAGGTGAAAAATGCAATGGTATGGACATGTAATGAGATGTAATTGCCTTTCAAAAACAATACTGTGGGGCTCAGTAGAGGGAAAGAGGAGAAGAGGCAGACCAAGAGAGACCTTGTTACAGAACCTGACTGACTTGACAGGCCTGAATGTTGAATTAAGAATCAACATCACAGCACCCGGGACACTCCCATAAGCGCTCCATCCCCCATCTTCAGCAGCAAGCAAAGAGTTACAATTCTGATGGTACCAGTAATTGTCTGATAGTATATCCCTCTCATCCTTCCCCTGAGTGTTAAGCGTTGGCCAGATCCCCTGGTAACTCAAATAATATCTAACTTGTCATACATCAATTCACCACCAAGTGGTGCAGAGCCAGCCAATCTATCTGCCTTCTCATTTCCCAACACACCGGCATGATCTGGAGAAAATATCCTAAGGATGCTAACTTACCCGGGACCTCTGAAGTGATGCTTACCACTCTGCACGAAGCATGCCTGTTTTCTCCTTTCTCAACTTGCTCTGTGACTCTGTGGACAGGCCTTAAACATACAAACATAAAGTCCATCGCAACTGACCACCAAAGGGGGAGACAGCTTATCAGACAGTCAATAGCAACTGGTGACCTAACAACGAGTGGTGTTACGGGATAATGATGATGATTTTTTCTGCTCATTTGTTTATTATTTCTGTAAACGTTTTTCCATGTCAGTTAATACAAATGCTACACTGGTATATTGTTTGCAGGTGCTTATTTTGTAGTTGTATGTTTATAGTTTTTAAACCAGAAATTAGTGAAAAACTAAACAATGTAAAATTTGTAGAAGGAAAAGTTACAAACAATGCCATACACATCTTCAGGATTCTGTCAGAAAGAGCTATAGAAGTACCAAAGAATTGCCTTTTCTTGTGCTTCATTAAGTACATGAAAGCATTGGACTGTAAAACATGAAGAAATAATCAATCTACTAAATAAATTAAACACTGATGGAAAAATCTAGAAATACTAAAGAACATTTATTGGCAGCAAACAGTAGCTATAAGAATTAACCACCATTTGAGAACATTCCAGAGCATAAAGAGTGGAGTACAACAAGGATGTGTGCTATCACCTGATTTTGTTTTCATTATACAGTGAATATATAATTAGATCTATCATGAATATGCTTGGAATTGTAGTTGGTGGTCATAACATAAACAACCTGCGTTATGCTGACAACACTGTCTTGGTGACGACAAGTAAAAAAGAACTTCAGGAATTGATAGACAAGGTGGTGGTAGAAAGTGATAAAATGGGCCTCAGCTTGAATAATGGGAAGACAGAAGTAATGATGATATCAAAGAAAAGAATAGTGCCTAAATGCATATTATAAGTCAAAAGCATTGTATTAGGACAAGTACATAAATTCGAGTATCTAGGCATATCCGAAGGAAGATGTATCACAGAGATAAAGAACAAACTATGAAAGGTTAAAACTGCATTTTATAAAAGGAAAATTGTATGCAATAAATCCATGTCATTGGAGGTTAGAAATAGAATTCTTGCGTGCTAAACAGAGTCGATTATAACATACAGCGGTGTATCCTGGATAATTAATAAACAAGCCAAACCATTTCTTGAGGTCTCAAGTAGTTGTACGTAAAAGTTTGGAGAAATGCTTGAACAGCCAAAGAGACCAACCCTGATGTTTTGAAAGAGGAAAGGGCTTGAAGACAACTTATCAAAAACATCAAACAGAGAAACAGTCAATATCGTTTGGTCGTATTATGAAAAGAAGGAAACTGGAACATGTTGTGACCAAGAAATATCTGTGAATAAAGACACAGGGCGGCAATGCAAGACGATTCTTGACAGAATTTGGCGTCAGCACACCAACTGATACATGCTGTTAGAGATTGCAGATTGTGGAGAGACATTATTACCCAAGCCAGTCAGCAAGGCACTTGATGACGATGATGTTTATAGTATTGAATTCGTCATCAGCATCTAGCAGTTCCTTTGCAGCATGTCACTCCAATCGGTGATCTGCTGGAAGGGCTTGGTCCCTTGCTAATTCCCATGTCTTGTGTATTTTCACCCATGGCATCTCTAATTTTCTATATCTACTTTTTAACTTGTCTCAGTTATAGTCACATTAAACAGTTTATAAATGAATTATCATTGAATGGTTTATCTGTAGAACAGTGCTGTCATCGCAGCCAGTTAAAGTGTCTGACTCCCAATCTTTCTCCAGTTCCCCTGTCTTGCACTGTGCTATGCTCAAGAGCGCATTGTTTTACTCCTGACTCCAGGCCTTTCCATTACTGTTTGGTTTTTTCCTGTTGTTGTGTGGGAAATAGGGGGGAGGAGAGGGTATTGCAACTGGGTTTGATCATCTAACCTCATAAAACTAGCTAGAGTTCTGAATAAGTAACATATAGATGTAGGCATCAGATAATACAAAGCAATCAAAGATCACACAAGCCCATCAACAGATAACACAAGCCCACCACCAAATCACACAAGCCCATCAACAGATCAAACAAGCCCACCAACAAATAACAGTGACAGATCACACAAGCCCATCAACAGATCAAACAAGCCCACCAACAAATAACAGTGACAGATCACACATGCCCATCAACAGATCAAACAAGCCCACCAACAAATAACAGTGACAGATCACACATGCCCATCAACAGATCAAACAAGCCC